CACGAGTTGGCCCACTTCTGTAGTCCCAGTACTTGGGAGGCAGAGGCAGGTGGATCTCTGTGAGTTCAAGGCCAGCCTGGTCTACATCGTGAGTTCCACTAAATGGTGATCCTGTCTCAAAAAAAAAACAAAAACAAAAAAACCCAACCCGCCCCCCCACCCCAAATACCAACAAAAACCCAAGACAAATAATAAAAGTTAGGTAGGGAAACCAAGCTAGTGGCACACACCCATAATGCCTGTAATCCAGAGGACAGTGTAGCCAGGAGGATCAGGAGTTCAAGGTCATCATTGGCTGTGGTGTGTGCAAGGAAAGCCTGGGCTACATAGTATTTTGTTTTTTTAGAGAAGCTGGTGAAGGATTTCTATTAGATTGTTTTTATTAGTAAATCCAACGAAAAATTAGTGGTTACTCACCAAAAAACTCCACAAAAGGCTGCCACTTTCAAGATAACTTCTATAATAGTTTTATGCAACCTTGCTTCTTCTTCCAGAAACTACTAAAAAGCTGGTAGTTTCACGTTAACTTCATCTTGCCTTTTTTCCCCCTCCTTTCCAAGAAAGTAATTGAAAACCTTTTTTCCAGGACACTGCCTCCGAGACCTAAGAACACAGTCTTTGAGACTTTTGGGGGTGAGGGCAGCATACCGCCGGGAGGCGGAAGGTGGTGGTGGGGACTTAGCCAGAGGTGGGCGGTGGGAGCAGCAGACCCCGCAGGAGGTTGGGGGGAGGAGGGCGTGTCTGGGCAGCGCGGCCTTAGAAGCGCATCCTCTGCTCACATTGGTTTCCCTGCGCGCGGAGAGGGCGAGATGAAGACGCAAAAGACACAGAGGGAGGGAGGAGAAATGAAGGGGCGAGCGGGCCGGGGCGGAACGGCAGCTGCGCTACCTCACAGTCCGGAGGCCAGGCGGACAGGCTCTCCGAGGACTCCCGGGCTTAGGACGGCGGCAGGTGGTGGAGGGCTTCGCTGGAGGAAGACGTGCGTCCTAGAGGCCCCCGGCAGTTCCGAGGACATCGTCGAGGGAGGGGTACCGTCAGTTCACGGACCCGCCTACAACGCTTGGCCCCCGGACTTATTGTTCCGGGAAGCCGCCGGAGAAGCCCGGCCCGGCCCGGGGGTTGCACCCCGCCCCTACAGGGTCTGTGGGCCGCAGCTAGCGCGCCGATAGGTGGCGGGTGGGCTACCTGTGCGTGTCTCTTTAAGGGGCTGAGCCTGCTAGGCTGCCGGGCGGGCGGGGTGCTCGTCGCTCCTGGAGCGAGTGTGTGAGGGAGAGAGCGGCGGGCGGGCGCCGGAGGGAGGGAGAAAGGGAGGGAGGGAGTGAGCGGGCGAGCCAGCCAGCGACGCGGGCTGTCCCTGCCGCCGCCGAGATCGGACCAGCGGCCTCCTCCCCTCCTGTCCCCTCCCCCGCGTCGCCCTGCCGCGGGGAGGGGGCTCGCGTCGCTGCCTCCAGCCGCTCCTCATGAAGCAGCTGCCGTCGCAGCCACCTCTGAAGATGGGGGATTTCTACGATCCCGAGCACCCGACCCCTGAGTAAGTCTCAGGTCCGCGGCCTCTGGTTGCCGTGGGACCCCGCAGCCTGCTGAGGGCGGCGCGTCCTGACGGGTGGCTGCGCGGGCCAGCGCGCGGAGTAACGGGCCCCAAGCGGCCTCGCGCGGTCGTGGCGGGGAGCAGGCCCGGCGCGGTCACCTCAGGCCACCGCGCCGGGCCTCGGCTGGCCAGCTGTGGGGCCTGGCGTTGGTACCACTGCTCGCGTCGTAGCGGCGGTTGGGCCGGCCTGATGGGGGATGGGCGGCCTCCGCTGCTGTTGCCGCGTCCTCACTACCCGGGCCGGGGCTGGGCGCTCCCCGTAGACGGGTCCTCCTCGCGGGCTCATTGCGGCACACCCGGCCCCGGTTGCAAACCTCGGTGCCCAGTCCGAGGTGCTGCCGAGGCCGAGGCCGGCGAGAGAGCACGGGCGAGTATAGGCCGAGAATCCCCGGGCTCGGGTGAAAGCTCGGCCCGTCGCCCGGCCTACTGGTGACGGCAGCTCCGACCGGAAGGGCCTAGCGCGCGTCGCTCTGCTGGGATCCGCTGAGGGTCCGCGTTGCATTTTTGCTTTTGATTTTTTTTTTTTTTCCATCTTGGGAACTCGATCCTGGCTCAGAAGTGTTTCAGGCTTCACATTCTGCGCCTTTGGCACTTGGTTTTGAAATGGTGGCGAGGTTTGTGTGGCCCCGTGTTGGGGTGACACCAGTTTGTTTTTTCACTTGAAAGTGAAAACCTGACAGAAACACATTTTTTTCTCACACATGAGACTTGAACACTTTGGGGCACTATTTCCTCTTACCTGCATGGATGACTTATAAGACTTGATTAAAAAAAAACCACAAAACTTTAGAATTTAAGTGTTCTCTAAAGAAGTGCTTTTGTAAACCGAAGTATAGCTTTCTCTAATAGTTCCTTTTCAGTCTAGGACCTTTTTACATTTCTCTTGATGGCACTATCTGATACCTCAGGAAAGCTTCCACACCAGACAGGTCTGGTGGTACACACCTGTAATCCCAACTGAATTAGGTTTGTGTGCAGTTTAGTGAGAGGTTCTCAAAACAACACAAAGAAAAGCTTCCACTTGAGAGCCTGAAGTCACTTCTTTCCCTAAGCCCTCACAAGAGCATTGCCTTAGGTAAGAGTTTGACCATGTTGCCCAGGCTGGTCTGGAATTTGTCATGTATCCCAAGCTGGCCTCACACCTGGGATCCTTCTGCCTCAGCCTCCTGAATACTGGATTATAGGTGTGGGCCACTAACTTGAAAAGCCATTCTTTAACTCCATTTGCTAGTATTGATGTCTTTAGGAGTACACAACATTTACTTTAAAATTAACATTTATAGGGATTCTTGGTAAACC